TTGTACTGAAGAGCACAGCTGGTTTAACTTTCCTGTCAGACCCCCAGGATCTTGTCTTTATAATGACTTTTTTAAACACACAGTGGGTTTGCCTAAGTGAATGTAATCTCTATTGCATTCTGCACCCATAGGAAAGAATAAGAAAAAACCCAGAAAAAAAACCCCAAACAACCCTCCCCCCAGTGCCACCTTTAGGAGAGAGGGGGTTCTATTTTAAATGGTGTGATATGGGTAGGAAATAGGTTAAAAAAGAGTTGGCCTTATCATGCAGGCTATTTAAATTTATAATAGCCAGCCAAAGGTACACATTGCCCTTCTCAACAACAACAAAGGAAATTAAAAAAAAAATTGTGTATGGCAAACTACAAGAGCTTATTTCCACAAAAAAAAAAAAAAAAATTTGGGGAAAGAAGAAAGTGGAAACAAGGTGATAAAACAAATCCTAATAAATCCAGATGAATTAAAATAATATGAAAACAGGAAGGCTGCAGGGCAATATGATGAACAATTAAGAGATTTAAAGAAAAATAATTGCATAAGCCTGAAGAAGTGAAATTGTGAAAGAATCCCAGAGAAAGATGGAGTTTGAGAAGCAAAAAAACTTGAGAAGGAAATGAATTGAAAAATAAGGCCTCAATTCAGAGCTTGCTGAAGTTAGGGAAGGACTTTAATGGGCTTTGGCTCAAGCCCTTACAGTGTAGCAAAGAAAACAATATAAACTGAAGTGGGATTTATATCCCTACTATAAATAATGTATGTAATCTCAGCTACTGGAGACAGTCTTTGTATATATCTAATTTATCATTATTAAAGTGAGATTATGGCAGCTTTATGCGAGACAGAGGCAAATCTGGGTCATTAATGAAAGCAGCTCATTTCCATGATCGGCTGGAACTCCTCGGGCACTTTCCTTCCTCCCGTTTAGCCCTCACTCCTGCCCCACCGTGGCCCACGGGAACACAGCACAGTGGAAGTGTGGCTGAAACCAGACTGAACGTCAGAAATGAAGACCACGGATAATCCTTTTGGTTTTCTTGTTTTCCCTTCAAATTGGAAATACAAATGTCAAACAGTCAAGGCACAAATAACACCTCGAGGGACATTTGCTCTTCAATCTCTGCTGACTGTTAGCTCTTGCCAAAAGAGCACTGAAGAAACAACTTTGCATAATGTTTCATCATTCCCTCTCTCTGAGGATCTTTGCACCAGTAACAGAAGGCAGCTGGTCCCACAGGATGATGATGCTGCAGCTGAGCTCCATTTCTGTAGTTTCAGCGGCCATCTCAGTTATTATTTGTAAAAATGGGTTTTGTCCAGCAGAACCAACCATCACTGCCTTCAGAGGTGTGTTTGGCCCAGCAGCCCAGGCCAGAGTTCTACAGCCACACTCATCTGTCCCTGCTGCGAAGAACCAACATGAAATCTGAAAATCAAGCAGCTTCAGACATCTATATGGTCTTTGAGACAGAAAATAGCCACTTTGAAGTGTAAGCAAAGGCTTGTGCATCATCCTCATCACCATCATCATCCAAGTGGCTACACAGGGCTTGGGTTGGCAATACAAATCCATGGCCACAGACCTTAAAACACAACTCTGGATAAAATAATACTCTCTTCATTAAACAAAGTAAACTGATAAATAAGATGCTTGCAGGCAATAGGCCTGAAAATAGGCAATCCTATTACAAATGACCACCCCAATAATTTTTCAAAAAAATAACAACTCCCTCAATGTACATGGGGAAACAAACCCAAACATGTGTAAGGCATTAGTCCTTTCAAGACTAATCTGATGATATAACAGGGTTTGTGTAATCTCTCTTACTTCAGCACTTTATGCCTTCTCTGAAAAAAAAAAAAAACCAATTTATCCATGCGGGTTTAGTAAAAAGAGTTTCCAACCTGGTCCATTGTGTCCCTCAGAAAAATGTTCCAGAGAATTGCCGGTGTTTCTTATCAGGAACAAGAGAACCAGCCATTAATTTTAAAAGAGTCATGTCATCAAGTGTGGACACGTTCACAGCCTGCCTGGGTTCACGCTCTTTATTCTTATAACAAATGGATACACAGTTACCAAACCTTACATTTTGTATCTTTCACTGTATTTTTTCCTTTCTTCCAAAGAATTCTTTCTTCCAAACAACTTCTTGCTACTAATTTGACATATTTATTACTCAGAAAGACCAGTAAACTATAGCTCCTTATTTTATCAACCAAAGAGGCAAAGCAACAATGCAAACCTTCCAAGCCCCTCATTTGCCTTCCCTTTCCCTGAGATGTTAACCAACTGGCTCACTCGCAGCAGCCATCTGATCCTTTCGCTCTCCTGAAACTACCAACAGAAAGGAAATTAATGCCAACTGTGCAGATGATTTGGTATTGACACTTTTCCAATAGAATCGAGACTCAGAGCACCAATATGTTACCACAGGGGACATCCACCCATCCATCGGATGATTGTAAATCTCCAACAGCAGCTGTCTTGGGATGCATTCAAAATTATAACAAAAGCCAAGAAAGATTCTTTATTTCGTTATCAGTTTTTACACCACTGATTCTTCAAGATGGTGCTATATTTTTAATTATACCAACATAAAACATCCTACTTAAAACTGTTACTTCATGTTACAACTTCATGTTACAAACATGAACCACAAATAAAATATAACCAATCCATTCAATATAAATTGATACTGCTTTATAAGTTATGTTAACCTGCTATACCTCCATCTACAGTACAGTTAGTTAATATTTCCTTTCATCCCACCAGACAAAAAGGTTAATCCTCACACCAGCTGTTACTACTCCAGTACAGAATGAATGTGAATTTAACCTCTCCTGGATATAGCCCAGCAAATTCTGTTGTTTTTCTAAGCACTTCTGTGAATTAAAATGGACGTTGGCTTGCCATCCAAATTCATGAACAGGTCTGAAGTGGCTTTTAGGCAAGTCGCCAAATAACTTCCCAATTCCCTTATAGGGTATAGCTCTCACTCCAGAGATCTTCCTGCAAGAATTGCAAAAACAACACCTTCTCCATTTCCTCAAAGTTATCTTTCATTTTCTTAGTATTATTTAAATAAATTCTGCACAAAATTACATTAAAATAATATTAAGGGTTCATTTGCCCTCTTCAGTTCTCAATGATTTCAGCTTAGTTGTAGCAATTTAAATATGAGAAGAATATGCCCTCCTGCAACCTTCCTGATGATGCAAACACCAGGATATTGAAAAACTTGAAAATTAAATTCAATCCAGCACACGTGTTTGGATATTGCATAAGGCTGAGAAAAATAGCAATACTCCCTAATACAAAAAAGATCAATTACAAGAAACAAATATATTTTTTCAGCTGACGCTTAACTTCATTCTAATGAATATCAATATATGCAATAAAGTCTTCATTTTCTCCCGGACTTCAATGGTCACTTTTAAAAGTAGCATAATTTAGACTTTGGTTTGGCAAAGCAATGAACAAACCACTAAAGTTTAAAACAATTTGAAAACTACAGAATTTAAGTACATTACCTGTGTTTTCTTATCTCCCCTCTTGGAGATGAAATATTTGCTCTTTGAACAGGAAGTCATCAGCCGGGTTGCATCGATGTGTGCGGCTTTGAACTTTCCAGAATTCAAAGCATTTTGGGGCCCTGAACAGAGGCGTGCCTGCTGGTAACAGGATCATACAATCACCAAGATTGGAAGAGACCTTAAAGATGAAATGAGTTCTCTTTCAGTTTCACACCCCACTAAGCACTGTCTGTAAGAATGAAATTCTCAACAGAAGATACAAACCAGCCAGAGAAAATAAACTTCAAGTAATAATAAACTTTCAACCCCTTGAAATAGACCTACTTAGAAGAAATCAGTTATTGTCTGATCATAGAATCATAGAATGGTTTGGGGTGGAAGAGACCTTAAAGATCATCTCTTTGCAACCTGCTGCCTTTGGCAGGGACACCTTACACGAGACCCATCCAGCCTTGGACACTTCCAGGGATGGGACAACCACAGCTCCTTGGGCAACCTTTGTTGGTGCCTAATCACCCTCACAGGAAAGATTATTTTCCTAATATCTAATTTAAACCTACTCTCTTTCACTTTGAACCCTTTTCCTCTTGTACAGTTTCAGTGGAATACCATACCCCTTTCAACCGCAAGCTCCGTCTTCATTAGCTCTGATCTGACATATTTAGTTTATATTTATATATTTACATATTTTACATATTTTATGTATTTTCCTTTCTTTACAAACGCCTCAACTCCACCTTTTTCCCCTATTACTTTTTTTCCCCGCTGAGGGAGGAATCCCGCCAGCCCGCAGCCCCGCTCCGTCCCGCCGGCGGCTGAGGGAGCCGCTGCGCCCTCGCTCGCCCCTCGCTCCCGCTGTCCCACAACAGCAGGACGGGTTCCCTCCCTAACTTGCCCCTCACCTCCGCCTCGGCAGCGCTTTAATAACACAAACGCACTGGGGAGACTTGAAACAACGAGGTTCTTACCCTTTCCCTCGGAGAAAACGCCGAGGGACCGCGTGTCTCCCTCAGGCGGGGCAAACGGGGATTTGTTCAGCTTGGGTAAGAGGAGACTGAGGGGACACCTCATAGCAATGTACAGCTTCCTCATGAGGGGAAGCGGAGGGGAGGGCACTGATCTCTGCTCTGTGGTGACCAGTGACAGCACCCGAGGGAACGGCATAAAGCTGTGTCAGGGGAGGCTTAGGGTGGATGCCAGGAAAGGGTTCTTCCCCCAGAGGGTGGTCGTGCACTGTAACAGCCTCCCCAGGGCAGCGGTCACAGCACCAAGCCTGACGGAGCTCAACAAGCGTTAGTACAACGCTCTCAGGCGCAGGGCGGGATTCTTGGGCTGTCCCGCGCAGGGCCAGGAGTTGGAGTCGATAATCCTTGCGGGTCCCTTCCAATTGAGGATATTCTGTGACTGCACGACTCCATTTCCCGGCGCGCCCCGAGGCGGGCGGAGCCGAGGCGGGGCGGGGCGGGGCGGGGCGTGCGCAAGATGGCGGCGCTGGGAGCGTGGGTGCGCTCGGCGGGGCTGCGGGCGCTGTGGGGGCGGCACGCGCGGCGGGGGCTCGCGCAGGACGCGGGCGGTACGTGAGGGGCGCTGAGGGGAGGGAGGCGGGACGGGCGCGGGAGGAGGGGGTGGCTGTGGCCGTGACCGTCCCCTCGCCCCCCGGGTGACGGCAGGTTTGCCCCCCGGTTGACGGCGGGTTTTCCCCCCGCCCGCAGACGGAAAGGCCAACGCCAAGCCCAGGCCCGCCTTCACGGACGAGGCGGTCCAGGCGCTGCTCTACAAAATGACGGGGATCGACCTGCACAAGGTGTTCCGGCCCGTGAAGAAGGAGCTCAAGCCGCCGCAGTACAAGCTGATGACCGAGGCTCAGCTGCAGGAGGTAGGCTGCTCTGCTTCCTTCGGAACCGAGTGTTGGCTTTAATAAAAGAGCCTGTAACAGCTCATACTTCTGTTTCCTTAATTGCTGCTTTTGGAAACATTTTGGTTTCTTTCCATTGTTTCAGGTCATTCCCTTACATAGTGTAAAAAGCAATGTTTCTTCACTTTAAATAATTTGTTTTGTTCAGTGTTCCTCGATGTTTATGCAATAGGAAGGAAATTGGATGCTTTTTTTCCCCCCTGAGTGACAGCTTCTCTTTATTATCCCGTTATGCTTCCTAACTGTGTTAAATGTTTTATCAGATATTTAAATTATAGCCCTGGGATTCCTTTGACTACTGTCTTTTTCCTGTGCTCTGACTTGGTTTGGGGTGACAGAGAGGCCTGACTTGAACCTGTTCTGGAGCCACAATCACAGCTATACACAAACTGTTGATTGTGGTTTATGATCTGGGGGAAATTTACGCTGGAAAAATACCTGAAATAAACGTGGTGTTTGCAATTTGTCCATTGAAGTTTTGGAACTATCTCCAGCATTTTGCCCACGTTTCAGAACTGGTAAATTGTTCACCCGTGACTCATCCACCTGGAGTTTGAATTAGTGTCTCACCTTCTCTCAACTGACGGAGAAAAAAAAACAACCCTCTTCTAAATGAAAATCTTTGTTCCACAATTGTATGTTAGCTTTCCAACAGGATGATATTTTTAATTGTAAAATTAAACTACTTTTTGTCCCCCAAGGCCACAAGAAAAGCCATTGAGGAAGCTAAAGAAAAACTAATCATGCCCCCTGTTTTGGATGAGCGAGAGCCAATTGATGATGTCTTAGCAGAAGACAAATTTCTTGAAGGAACTGAAACTACAAAATATGTATTTACAGATTTAACATACTCCACTCCACATCGTGTAAGTAACACAATTGACAGTATTAATTTGTTTTCAAAATAAGCCTTTAGGTTTTAATAAAAACTTAATTATATCAGTTTGCAAAAAAGGCTGAGGAGTTGTAAATTTAGTCTGGTACGAGGTAATAGAGAAACATATATTTCTAAAAACTTGCTTCTTACTCATAATGATAAATTATATTCTGTTACTCAAAACGAGGCATGAGGGGAAGCTGTGGGGTAGTTAGTTATTTTATAAGCAGATGCTTGTGATATGTTAGGAGTGCTGAGTTCTTCCATGTTTCCTAGCAGCTTTCTGTGGAATTTGGTTACTTAGTACATAAACTAAATATGTACTGAAGGTGGAGCTACTTCACAGTAGCAAAAATCTGGTGGAAAGCTGTGCAAATGATGGATGAATTCATGGGAAAGCTGTAAAGAAACAGTTGTCAAGTAGAATTTTTGAGTATGGGGATAGAGTTTTCTTTGTCTAGTGAAACATCCATATGGTCATTAAGTACCAGTAGTAAGAGGCTGGAGAAATTCTTAACAAATAGTTATGACTCTAAGAAGTCTCCATGGTTCAAACGTGCATATAGTGATGGGCCTGTGAAAGGAATTGCACCTACCTCTGAAACAAAGGTAAAGAAGTGCCAGCCACTTGCATTTCTAATTTCATTCTTAAGTGATAAAATCAGGCCAGCAGCAAGGCTAACTGCCTTGTCTGGATATGACTGAAGTTGTTAATCTAAACTTCACAGAGCTCTAGCTTTTAGTGTAGGCACATGCACAGTAAAATGGAGGTGCAGATGTAGCACTTAATTAGCAGGTACTAAGGCAGGAATGATTGATCTAGCACACAGCAGCAGTCAGTTAGAAACTGGCATTATTAGTGGGAGTTCAGGTATTGAAGGGCTTTGACAAATAATCTTTTTTTACAGTGGTTCTGGCTATGAAGACAGAAGGCTTTGGGAGATAATGCCCTTTTTTTAAATTTATATTACCTTATTTTCAGGAACGTTTCATTGTAGTTAGAGAACCAAATGGTGTGTTAAGAAAAGCGACCTGGGAAGAACGGGACAGAATGATCCAGATATTCTTCCCAAAGGAAGGGCGCAGAGTTATTCCCCCAGCGCTATTCAAGGACGAACACCTTGGGGTAAGTTCCTCCTGAGTTTGAAAAATGATTGTTTTTATTTACTTGTGCTCTGTTACTGGGCAGAGGAGCTATGAATAAGGCACTCCGAGTATGTGCTTTAAGGTGCCTAAATTCTGTTTTGAACAATTGCTTATCATTGTGACTTTGTTAAAATACTTACAGGGAAGTTCCAGGTTAGGTCCAGGTAAATCCTGGATAGGTGTAAACAGTGTGTCACACTAGAATTCCACATTTAATTGTTATGCATTGATGAAACTGTACATTTAATCTGAACATGTGAACTGGTGTTTCAGAAACAAAAATCGAGAAACACTGTATTAACATCAAGGCAGTTATGGCACATCTGTGCATTTTATCTTTCAGTTAAGGGGTTACTGACTGTAAGTGTTGCTCAGAACAGAATGCTGGGATTTTGGAGAGTTGGAATGGTGTGATGCACAGTCTCCTGAATTTGAACTGTTGTTTCAGAATGTATTTCAGCAAGACCGTCATGAGGATGTCCTTAACATGTGCATTGCTCAGTTTGAGCCAGATTCAGCTGACTATATCAGAGTGAGTTCACTTGTCATTTTTCTAGTAAAAAAAAAAAATAAAATTAGTGAAGAACTTTAGGGTTTGTCTTGTAAACACAAGTATTATCTGGGGGCTCAAAGGTGTTGGTCACGGGTTTTCCCCTCCCCATATGGATTATCAGTTATCCCTGTGATGAGTTTTGGGGTTTATTTTTATGCAGAAAAGTAAACCAGGATTCTGTTTAAGTAATTTTCAACAGGATAGAAAAATACTAAATATGCAAAAAAAATAGCCTTTATGTATTAGGTATTTTTATTATCTAAACAGAATTGATGGAAACACCCATAAGTGGCCATGGGCTGATGGAGTCATGGTAACTGCTCTGTTAGGACTTAAAAGGACCAGTTAGATAACTGAAAGTGCACTTTGAGAGAGAGTACTCTACACAAAGTATGACTTTTGACAAAGACCAGGTGCAAAAATGTAGTTCTAGCTGAATTACTTAAAGTTAGTAGCTGTAGCTGCTGATAAATATGTTAGTGTACAGTTGCTTTTAAAATGTTTACTACTCTTTACACTGTAATATTCTCAGGTATCTGAGAAATTGTAACTTCTGTTAGATAATTTTTCAAGCACCTTTTCTTTGAACTACAGTTTCCCCTCTTTGCTCTAGCGTTTTTCTCCTTAAAGAGCAGATTACAACTTGACAGCAGTGCACTGGAGGTTAAGAGGTTATGTCCCTGCCTCCCCAAATGCTCAGGACAGAACTAGGATTTATCTTCCTTTTCCCATAAAGATGTCTGTGCCTAAGTACTGAGAACTGGTCTGTCCCAGTGTTACCCTGAATTACAACATGCATAAGGCTTTAGGGTAGCATTGTTTCAGTCTGTGGCTTACTCCTGCACTTCAGGGAAAGAGAAAATAGACTAAAAACTAAGAGAGAGGCAGAGGGGAAGAACTGCCCTCAAGCTCCAGTTGTGTGAATGAAACCAAAACCTCTCCTGGGTGTAGGTTCATCATCGGACTTACGATGACATTGACAAACACGCCAAGTACGACCTGCTGCGCTCAACAAGGCACTTTGGAGGGATGGTGTGGTACCTGGTCAACAGGAGGAGAACAGATGGCTTACTAATAGATATGATCAACAGAGACCTGTAAGTGGTGTTTGACACTTACTGATTCTGCTTATCTAAACAAATAGAAAACAAGCACCACTGTTCAAAATTAGTATTTCTGTAAGATGTGGAAGAGTTTTCACTTGCATGAACTCTTAAGCTGGCTCTAATTGTTGGCTGTGTAGATGCTGTTAGCTCTGTGGAAGGACTGATTACAGTCCAGGAAGTTGTAGGGTACTAAACTAAGTTTCTGCAGAAACTGACCTTTTGTAGCTGTTGGGTTTTTGTTTCCCATGTAATTGTCAGAACACTTTCAGCTCTGGCCAGTGCTGATTTTAAACATGCAAGTTATTGCAGTCTGTGTTCTGAAGTTCCCCTTTGGCACAGTTGCTCCACTGTTTGCTATGGGGTAATTAATTGTATTTTACAGACAGATTTCAGGTGTGTTACTGCTGAGCAGGGCACCAGGCTTCCACTGCACTCTGGAGAGATTTAGATACTTTTCCTGGTGCACTGTGGTATTCACATGCTTCTGGCCTCCCTTCTCATGAAGGGGCTGCCACAGATGATGGGATGGATGCCCATTTCCCTGTTTTCCATGTTGCAGTGACTGGATACTCAAAAGCAGCAGCCTGTGGTGTGCAAAATACATCACAATATACACTTCCTCTATATACTCTTAATTACTACAAGACAGTGATTGCTACAAATGAGCCTTTATTTTTTTAGGCTGGATGATGCTACAAGTTTAATTACACTGTATCATATGCTCCATCCTGAATGTCAGTCAGCAAAAGAAGCTAAAGAACAGGAACTCAAAGGAATGGATCTGATCAAGGTATGCTTTTCTGCTTTAAACTACTTAACTACAGAGGAGAAAGCTTTTAAACAGCACAACCCATTTAGTAGCCTAAATTTCTTACTTTAAGCAGATATTTAACTAGAACTGTTCTGCATGGCATGTTGGGTGTTTAATATATATATATCTGCAACAGGATTTCGGCTGTAGGTGGCTGATCTGCCACTGGCATGATGATATCTCATTATGCAACTCTGCTGTTAACTGTACATTAATCTCCTGCCATGGTTGCAGGTATTTGTGAAAACTGAATCCCAGAGAGAAGGCTACATCCAGCTGGCCCTGCAGGCTTATGAAGAAGGAATGGCTACTTCTACAGCTTCATGAAATAAGCCTCAGTTCATCCTAAGTTTTAAGTCTGTTTATAAACATTCTCTGTACAGGATTCCACAATAAATACTTTAAACCGACTGTTCTAAATTTTGTTTTACTGAAATATGCAAGAATCATTACAGCAGTTTATTATTTTGAAAAGGTCTGTAAATGAACTTAGAGCAGTCATCACGACTTTTGTTTTTGGTGACAATATGTCCTGAATTTAATATTTTAATGTTACATCTTGAGTCTAAAAGAATTGCCCACAATTCATTTTAGTTATTTTACTGATTGTTACCAAACCCAAGCCCAATAGCACAGTGAACACAACCATATACCCCAGTGCATATGCTGAGGAAAGTCAGGCTAAAACACCAGTGTTCAGCTATTATGCTCCTGTTTCATGTATTTCTAATATACACTACTGAAGCTGGGTTATCCTTAAGAATGGCACTATTCTCAGTAGAATTACTAGTAAATGGAGATTTGAGGAGAAGAATGTTTAAAGGACTTTATTGAGTTGCTTGAAAAATGAAAACATTTGTTAGTAGACACTGGAGTTTATGTCTTGAAATTCAACGTACTGGAAGCTGATTCTCCTCGTACAATTGCTGGGTCTACACTTCCTCCTACATGTACATGGTCCACTTGTGGTATAAAAATCAAATTAACTTGGAGCACATAGTCCACAGATCTTCATTCCTTGGCTTGGAGTAACTAACTGATTTGGTCATCTAAAAGAAGGATGTTCACTCATCTAAGATCTCCTCATCCAGATTGATATCTGTGGTATCAATATCCTCCAGATCCAAGTTATCTAGGTCATCTTCCAAGTCCAGCAGCGTCTAGGGAAAGAAAAGACCAGATGAAGGGGTTACTACTATGGTTCCATGTCAGCCAGCTCATATGATGAATGATTCTGCAGGATGTCCTTGCACACTCTGCAGGCCCCAAGCCATGGCAGTGGTGTGGAACAGGAGTGCCAAAACAGGCTGCAGAGGGAAGCTCTGTGCTTGCTAAGGGAGCATCTTTCATGAGGTGTGGCTTTTTAACATGTTCTGATCAGCTGGGTTTGAACTTCACCCTTGTACCCCCCAGGGTGCTGAACTGCTCTGTGTTGCTGTGTGTGGTTTCTGCACCCCACAGCAAGGGACCTGTACCCTGTACTGGCCTAGGCTGGCCAGTAACACAGACATTTTCCAATGGCTTTGTTCAATCACATTGAAGGCTTTAACATAAAATTAGTGCTCATAGTGCTCCCCTTCATAGAAATATGTTTTGGTACCTTCTGATCTCTTGGTGGAAGTATATCAGAATTCTGCAAAACTGTCTTCATCACTTCTTGTTTAGGAGGGGGAACTGGTTCTTCAGCCTTCTTCTAATGACAAAGAAATTCCTTTAGTTCTTTTCAATTTTAATTCTTCAACAAAAACAAGTAGACAACAGCAAACCTATAATCCTCCCCTCCCAGTGGTTCTCTTCCAAGGTTTCCCTCAGCATTTCTTCAGCCACAGCCTGCCAGGGTTCCAGTCCTCACTCCCCTGGAGACTGCCATGTCCCTCCCCAGTTTATCTGAAGCAGTTGGAACTGATAACAGTTCAGTTGGAACTGAACAACCTTCAGAAAGTCTCAGTGCATGTCAAATACTGAAGTGCTGTTAGTGACTGTAAAGGTCCTCAGCGAGACAGATTAGGTTACTTGAGATGGTGACAGCAAATCTTAGTACTGTTGCTGGGGTTTGTGTACCCTGTAAAGGTTTAACACTTCGTCTTCTCACTTTGCTGCTGCACAAATTTTGTATTAAGATAATTCATCAGTATCATTACTGAAGCAATGCTATTCAATTAATTACAGAATTAATCAAAACACAGTTATCTCCTGCTCTGTAAAAGACAACTGTGGCTTAAGCCTTCTATGCAATCATTAGCTGAATGAAAAGATACACTTCTAACAGTGGCCTTGTCTTCAGCTTCTAATGCAAGCTAATTCTCATTTGTTTCAGGTAACTTTTGCAATGTTTATCATCTTTAACAAATGTGCACAGAAGTTTGATTTTAGTTTAACGATACTTGCTTTGATACACAGCAAGCAAACAGTCACTACAGCTACTTGAAAGTAGGCTGACTTCTCTGAACTGACACTGATGCTTTGTAGTGCATCTCCTAAGAGGAAAAAAATACAGACAGAATGGGGAGTTGTGGCTTTTCTGTTTCTTCCTCAGTTTCTGATTTAAGTTCTAATTTTAGATGTTTATAGTGTCAAAGAGCTGTGCCTCTTCAAGAAACTCTCATGTTCTCTGATTTTCATGAACAAATGTATTGGACGTGAACAAGAACTGGAAGTTGTCATCTTCTGTTTGAGCTCTGAAAAGCATTTGAAGTGTTTGTTTCAATCTCTATGCTCATTCCTTACACTTAAGTTGTGTTTTCTGCATAAAAATTGGACAACTGTGGTGGGGCAAAAAAAATCAGTTTGTTACTTCAAATATTGATTAGAACATTTGTTCTATGATTCCTAACCAGTCAGTTATGGAATAGTGTTATTCCATAACACTATGCAGCACACTAGTGGAGAACATAAAGCATTTTTAATTGCTGTAACACATAAGAGTTTCCAGGTTCCAGCAACTGAGCTTTTAGAAAACCATCTGCAGTCGGGGTGGTGTTTGTATGTGCAACTGAAATTGGTTTACTCTAGGATGAATTCAATAGTGAGACTCCACAATCACTCACACTACTAAGGGTGACCCAGGGTATGGAAGCACACAAATAATTTCACAGTCAAGAAGTTATTAGTAGTTACAGACGCAGATAAGAAGAATCTGAGGCAAACAACATGGAACTCAGCTGCAGCTCTTACAGTCAAGCCAATAAGAGCAGTAATTTGTCCATTATTGGTGAAATATTCCCCAGGGTAGATTTACCACCAAATAGCAAAGTTGTCTCTTAGAATTCATCACTTAGTAACACTGACCTGAGACACCATTACTCCAGAAGGCTCAAATCCTTTTGCTTCTTCAAGCAAGTTTCTTTCTTCATTTGGCTAAAAGTAAAAAACCAACACAACGTGTATGTTTAAATGTTAAATGTTAAAGCTCATTTCACACAGCACCGAATGTTTTTCTTCTAGAGACAATACAAACTCCCACTCACAGTGACAAGGGGGTATTCCTTGGCCGGCCGCAAGTCAGCCAGGCTTTGTTTCACATATTCTTCAGCAACAAAAGCTTCCTTTAATCCAGGGAAAAGGTTCTCATATTCTGTAGGATCAGCAAGGGACTCAGCAGCTTTTTGATTGACTTTTGAGAGGTTTTCCCGCCAGAGTTTAACAACCCTGGAGATACAAACAGTATTTGTTACATTCAGCTAATTCTGACACCACCATCTGCACTCTGAATAGGCTTAAAAATTACCTGGAAACTTGGCTTGGCAAATATGTCCGTGCAAGGAAAGCAGCTTCTGGGAGACGCCCGGTTTTAATCAGGAGTTCCAAACAGGAATCAAGCCTAGAAGATTTTAAAATGTGGTTTTAACCAATGAATTTATTAAAGACAAATTCCTGTATTAGATTAGCTGTTTATACTATGACATTAAAGTGCTTTCATTTCAGATTTTAAATCTAGCAGCCATCATAAAATAGAAGCAGCTTTTCTGAGAGGGTGCCCACCTCCAACCTTCTCCGTCAAAGTTGGCTGTAGTTAACCACTTGGAGAACCTGAGGTACTTTGAACTTGGGAAGGCAGAACAGAACAATCAGAATCTTCGTTTGCTACTTACTTTCCCTGCAGGAAGTAGCTCATAAATGCCACGTTATTCTTGCCATCTTTCTCTGCTCCTTCAGCTAACTTGTTCACCATGCTGGCATTTCCTGAAGCTGTGGCCAGGAGCAGCAGCCCTCCATAGTCTTGTGCGTGGTGGAGACATTCCTGGGCTAAGCCAAACTGGCATTTACTAATGGCAAGCTCTGCAAGTTGCTTCCATTTCTGTTCTGACTAATTGCACAAAAAGGGGAGAGGGAAGGAAAGAAAATAACAGTGTTTAAAGATTTGCAGAGATTCAGTGTGCAAGTGTAAGTTTACTGATGTATCCCATCACTACGTTGTCTTCCCTTTGAGGTCCTGTGATTACTGCAGCTTCACAACACGACACAGTGAGTTTTGTAAGATCATTACACAGCTATACCATTACATAAGATAAACTGTGTCAGTAAACATGGAGGTGGGAGGTAGGAATAGCTTTGGAAATTGGCCTGAAAGCCTCAGCCCTGTCATTGCTCCTCTTGTTGTTAAGTACTGGAGACCAGGGCTTGGTTCCTGGCCCAAGTTCTGATTCTCCAGGAGTTCCTGTAGCTTTCTGAGCAGACAACATTCTTCTGTCCCCATCCCACAGCTTAGATGCCTTTGAATTACAGGTAGAAGGGCTTCATCAACAGTTGGAGGTGTTTCTGTTGTGCTCAGGGAGCTGTACACACCACTGGCTTTTCTTACAGGGCCTCTCAGATTGATGCTAACACTCAGGATCAGTATCCCCAAAAAGGATGTATGTACCTCTGCTTCCACTGCAAGCTGATATGCTATTTTTAACTCTCCGAGCTGAAGAGCAAGTTCAAAACGATGCTCTGGATCTGTAGACACTGCAAGAGCTTGTTGTTTGAAGCCCTGAAAGAAAAATCTCTAAGTTAGGCTGGGATCTGTCAAATCAAACAGCATCCTAGATGTTTTAACAAAAATACTCCCAACAGAAGGTTACAGTATTCTCAAATAAATACAGATAATTAACAAGAGTTTATGTTTACAGATAACATGACTGGGTTTTCCTTAGCAAACTCAATGAAAAATATGAATTAACTGAATTATTTAGTTTGATAACTAAGAAGTAGTTTTCTTGCCTGTTTTTCAAGGAAATGTGCAACTCTGGTTCTCTGTTCTTTTGGAATTGTGGGAAGAACTTTGTCAGCCATACCAAAATCTCTTCTCATCACAGCAGTCTGATATTCAAGCACCGAGACCAGCAACGAGTAACTAACAATGTTTAGCTCTTTATCACCCAAATAAAGCCGGTTGTCCTTGGGGATATACCCCAGAAGATACATTGTT